TGCTTCTTGGAGTCCCATGAATGCTGTATGAAACAGATTAAAGAAATTTGATTTGGTCCCTGCCTCTGTCATCTGTTGCATATTTATGTGAAAATCTAATAAAAGCCAAGAAACTGTAGAATTGAGGGGTGAGAAGACCATTGGGAAAGAGTCCACATCCATGTTTCATGCACCCACAAGTCTTGCTAGGTATACCAAGAATGCAAGACTGTACTTGTGCTTGACAGGGTCATTTCTCAGGGTTTTATTTGCAGCAAACAATCTGGAAAGAAAAGATAACATCTCTCTCCTGGACAAAGAGTAGGCTTGCTTACTGCTTGTGATAATACAGAAGATTCCCCAAGCTTGCTAGCCTTGATGCAACCCACGGTGTTACGCAGCCCATAGCGTCACCCTGTGGGACCTGGAGAGCAAAGGAAACTGACTCCATTATGCTGATACTCTTCCTACTTTCTGTAATAGTCTTTTATCTCTAAAGCAAGAGCATCACACCTTCTGCCAGCAGTCACCAAACAAAAACGTGTCATGGCTAATTTATTAATGTCAAAGTAGGGCAACCCTGACAGTTTTCTATATGGCTTTTTGGTCAGTAGCTTACATTTCTGACATTCTCTGCTAATTTTCTCTTTAGTAATACTGAGAAAACATGCTATCACTTGGCCAGACAAATCAACCCTTTTCAGAGCATATAAAACTTCTCCTTCTAATTACTTTGTAAGTTTAGTTAATGAAATCTGATCATATCACAACCCAGCATCTGTATCATACAAAATAAAACTTTCAAGAAAACAAATCTCTTCTCAAAGGACAACCCAGACCTACCTCCTAGAATACTTGTCACCACCCCCTCGACACTCAAATTGTCCCTGCTGTGCAGGATTTAAGTACCCAGTTACGAATGTTCCTTTCTGCTGATGCCTGCACATCCTGCAAATGAGGAACTCAGGCCTTGGGAATTCTATACCAAGAATTTCCAATTCTTTGTAAAGGTCAGAGCGCCTTTACAGTTTGAGAATGAAGTGAAACATTCCAGCATCACCAATGAAGACTGCTTCCTCGGATCCCACTGTCCCCCATGGAGCAAACCCATTCCACCCAGACTGTACCTCGCTGCAAATCAACCCACTAGTTCTCCCTCCACAGTGGACCCACTGATCCTCCTGTGAATCCCGCCTCCTCCGTACCCCCGGGCCAATCAGAGGGCGGCGTCTCTCCTCCCGGTTGCCGTGGTGCCCGCCGAGTCCCTCCCATCACTCACCAGATGTGCGCTGGCTGGTCCAAGCGGTGGAAGCGAGTGGCAAAGGACAGCAGCGTCACCAGGGCCAGCAGGGCCCACCGGCCGGCCGCCTTAAAGCGCCGCGAGGCCCTAGCAGGCCGTTTGGGGTTCCGTGCTGCAGCCTCAGCAGCCACGTCCCGACCCACGACCCTAGCAGTCTGGGACTCGCAGCGGCCCCTCCGGAATCGCAGCTCGGAATCTGCCAGGCCTCCGCCTATGGCCGGCGGCATCCTCCCCCTCCTCAGGATCACCCTTCGGCCCAGAGGCACGCTTTGTCTTGTCGGCCGGCCCGCTGAGGAGTCATTAGAGGGCGGCTCGGGGTGCCCTGGGAAATGTAGTTCCCGCCGCTGGTAGCGAAATGCAGGGCCCAGGCCTCTGGGTGGGGCGGGAAGCGTGGTGGCCGCCCGGGCCACTAGGAGGCGGCAAGAGGCGCAGAGCATAATGGGAGGACGCGAAGACGGGGACATGTTCACGAAACTGCAACTCCCAGCAGCACAGGGAGCAAGAGCAGGGGCGGAGGAGGGGCGGCGGGGCGGAGCCAGCCAAAGACCGCAGGGAAGTCCATTCCAGCCCGACCTCGCTTTACCCAGACGAGGGCCAAGGTTTAACTCGTAAGGGTTTCACAGCGCCTCAATCGTCGGCCGGTCCCGGGAGCGAACTTTCTCAGCTGGAAGACGGGGGTCTCCCGAAGTACGAGATGCAAGCTGGGAAGGTCTGTGCCAAGCTCTGGGGGAGCGGGTCGTCTAATTAGTAAACGTGGATTAAAGCTGGGGGCGAGGCCAAGGGTGCGCCTCTTTGCCCCGCCCACGGCTCCCACAACGACTCCCGGCGAGCCTTTCGTCGCGCCGACACTCTCTGCGCCTGCGCGCTGCCCGCTAGGCCATTGGGCCAGACAAGTTAGGGCTGGTGGAGGCGCTCCTGGAGGAGCCTGCGCGGCGGAGTCCACTCACACCGCTTTCTGTTCTCGTCCTCCTTGTCCCTAACTACGCGGACCCCTTCTAGGGCTTCCAAAGGTCGACCCTCGTTTCCCCGTTCCACGCTTTCTGCGTGTTCCTCTCTCGGCTGGTCATCCTAACAATTGACTGATGGCCTTCAAGGAAAGTTTGCATTTTAAGAGCACCAAGGGAGAGGGGAGCGGTGGCACCTGAAGCCTTCATAGTTTGGGGAGCTTCCCAGGTTTAACCTGCATTTCCCCCGAGCCTTCATAGACCCCCCATATCACCTTCTGATAAAACGGGCTGAGAATATGTTTTATAAGCGACTCACGTGAGTCTTGAGGGCTCTGAAGTTTGAGAACTGCTGTTACAGCTCCTTAGGGAAGGTGGCCCATCAGCTGGGACGTTACGTCACGTTGATAATGTATAGCCCTCCCGCTCCCAAATGGAAATTTAGGAGTCTTTAAAAACCATGTGTAAGAGATGGCTTTAAAACAGCTGAGGGTGTAACAGCACTCACCTAGCGTGTATGAGGCCTTGCGTAGGATCTGTAGTACCGCAACATAAATAAAAATTTGCCAGAGTGATTGGAAGGCATCTTTGAATTCCTGAATTCTTCCTGGAGTGCTGGTGAAATGGACACTCTACTTGAGCTTAACATTTAGTTGTACAAGTGCAAAAATGAACAAGGAATAATTTACAGTAGTACCCCTTTATCAGTTTTCTCTTCCCATGGTTTGTTATCTGGTCAGTTGTGGTCCAAAAATATTAAAGTGGAAAATTCCATAAATAAACAATTCATAAGTTTAAATAGCAGTCCTTGCTGAATGTTGTGTGGAGATCTCACCATCCTGCCTGTAGTGTAGTGAGTCCTTGCTTTGTTCTGCATATCCAGGCTTTGTAGGCTACCTGCCTGTTGGTCACTTTCTAGCTGTCTTGGTTACCAGGTAGGCTTCAGAGGTTCAGCCGTACCTTTGTTTAAATAATGCTTATTTTACTTAATAATGGCCCCCAAACTGAAGAGTAGCAATGTTGGAATTTTATCACAGAATGCTATTATAAGTATTCTATTTCATTATAATCAGTGTTAATCTCTTACTGTGCCTAATTTATAACTGACCCTTAGGTATGTATTTATGTATAAGAAAAAAAAAACATAGTATATATAGGATTTAGTACCACATGTGGCTTCCAGCTACAGTAGAGGTCTTGGAACATATCCCTCAAACAATAAGGGGGTACTACTGTATATAGTTATCACTAGTAAGAGAAAGTGCAGAAGTTTCCTACTTATGGCTCATAGTGGAGGGCAGTGGAATTTACTGTGACTTTGGTCATCCTTAATACATGTCAAAGGTGTAACATTCAGTCATTAGGTGAGGCATTTCTTCAGTGATTCTAACCTCAAGTCTGATTCTCTAGTAGTTAATACCTCACAGCAGTCCCTGTTTGTTGTTCCTGGAGGCCCCTCCAGCCTAGCTAGGTAAGGAAAAGAATGCATCTCCAAATAAAATCTAATTGTGGCTTCCCGGCTTCTTTGCAAAAGACACTTTTTGCCTATCACCTGCTCTCTATGCCAGGACCATCTTTGCCATACCCACAAAAGGTACTTAGAAGACAGGCTGGTACTCCTGGGCTTGGGAACCACTTTGGGAGAGCTTGGGTACCCACTTGTGACCTTGCCCACCTAGAAGAGTGCATTGGTAGTGTAGGGATGAGGAAAGCAGGTTCAGATAGAAGTTTGGGGTACTGGGGTGGCAGAAGGGAGAGGGAACTTTGGTAAAATGTCTGTAATCTGAGAGGTAGTAGACGGGTGATCTGAAAAATTTTACCATTTTCTCTCAGCCATATGAATATGTCTATGGGAAGATTCATGAGTATTAATCACTGGTTACTCTTTCTTGGATCCCACTTTAAAATGCTGGTTATGCAAGAAGCACCAGGGAAATTAAATTTGAGTTTCTTAAACCTCAGAAGAAAGGCTACACACTTTAGTTTTCTTTAGGAGCCTGAAGTTAGCAAAAATGAGAAAAATAGGCCAGGCATGAGCCATGGCAGAATACAAGCCCACAGTTATGCAAAATCATCTAACACAAAGACTTATTTTATTTATAAAGTGCTAAAAGTTTCATTTACACACACAGATGGATATCCACCCCCACCCCAGGGGGCTGGGGATTGAACCCAGGGCCTTGCACCTGCTAGGTAAGCACCTACCATTGACCCCCAGCCCCACACATGGGCATTTTGTAGACATGATAGGATGTCAAAATACAATATGTAAAAAATGCTGGCAGCACAATACTCTGTAAATTGTCAGTTGTTCCCCCTCATGATCAGTCTGTGATCTCAGAGCTGTGGCTTACTGCTGCCACCTGACATTTTGAGGAATTATTGTACTGCATATCTCTAGACTGGAAAAGATCAAAACCCAAATTTTGAAGTATGGTGTCCAAACCGAATACATATCTCTTTTACACCACTGTAAATTTGAGAAATCATTAAGTTGAACCACTGTTAAGTCAGAAACTATCTGTAGATCAACAGAAAATCTGAGGGCCAGATGGGACCTCTGAGCTGCTAGTTGCCACCTCACCTTTAGGGTGAATGGGCACATCTGCCAGCTATTTTTATAAGGCCATTTGGGAGTCAAAGATTGGAGGGTGGGGATTAAAGGATATAGAAACCAAAGCATCAAAAAATTAGAATTCCTGGTCTTTTTGCCACTGCCGGCAGGGATCTCTGCCATCTTTTAGGGTGACTCTTTGTTTTACAGGCAAAGGAACTGAAGACTAGAAAAGGAAGGGATTTGTCCAAAGGTCGTACAGGGCTGGGTCCTGCAATGGGTCTGGACCCCAGATATGCCAGCTCCCTGCCCTCTGTGCCACACAACTGCTGCTTCAAAGCCAGGCCATATTTTCTGCACAGAATACCAAACCTAGCTCCACAGGAACATAATAAACTTCCCACAAGTTGGAAAGAGATGACCTTTGTGACCAGAGTCAAAGTTCCCTGAAGCCTGTTTAACCCAGCTTCCCCATTGGCTCATGGGACCAGCCCCTTCAGGGTTCCTCCCCATGCCCTGCAGCTCTGAGAGAGGGGACATTCCTTAGAAAGCCAAGGATCACCACAGCACCATGACAGAGTCTGGCAAGGTAAGGCAGGCCCCTGAAGGCTGCTGTCCCCGTGGTGGCCACTCAGACCTCAGGGATTCATGCCAACACAATTGGGAGCCAAGGGACCTTATACAACTCCCAGGGCCTCTGACCCAGAGAGCTCTAAATCGGCCCTAGGTTGCCCAAACACAGGCCTCAGGAAGGAGGCCTGGTGGTACCGGAAGAAGCAGTGGTGGCTCAAGAGACCCTCTCCTGGGGCTGGAAACCCCTTGAACCTGGGTTAATACACACCCTTGTCCTTTCTCCTCAGCCCATCCTCTATTCCTATTTCCGAAGCTCCTGCTCATGGAGAGTTCGAATTGGTAAGAGCTGAGTGCTTTGTTGGGGGTCGGGTGGGCGAGAAGCCTCAGGTACGAAGCTGACCTGGGACAGAAGAGGTACTCTGTCAGACAGGACTTCACCCCCAGCAACCAGCGTCCCTAGGCTCCTGGATGCCCTTCCCTGAATGACACCTCCACCCAGGAAGTCCAACAAGAACACACTGTGGGTGGGAGGAAGGAGGTTGTTTTTCTTCTTGGCACGGCTGCTTGCCCCACACTGTCCTCTAAAGCCCCTTAGCAACCAGGTTGATAAAATCCAGAGGTCCCTGGTAACCAGCAGAGGAACAGCTGGCCTCCCTGGTTCTTATTTGACATGGCAAATTAAATGTAGCTATCAGTGGCTTGGAGGGAGCAGAACTAGGGCCCTCTGGCTTAGTCCTGCACTGGCCCCTCCCTCCTCCAGCTTAACACAGCCCCTGACCAAAGTCATTCTTATAGCAGCTCTATTGATGAAGGCCTCTGCACTAAGTGCTTTTGTGTGCACAATTTCCTTTCATTCTGAAAGCCCGTAGGAGGGAGAAATTTATTGTCCCTGTTGTACAGATAAAGAAACTGAGGCCCAGGAAGGTAAATAACTTGTATCATGCAGCAACTAAGAAACCAAGCTGGCATTTGAACTACACAGTCTGGCTCCACAGTCCATCTGGTGGTGTTCATGCTGGGGATGCACCCAGGGCATGGGGCATGCTAAGCCCGTGAGCTACACCCCAGCCAAAAGCCCTGCTTTTAACCACTACAGTATGCTGCTTGTCAGATGGGGAAACAGCAGCCATCTGTTAGTGGCCCATTAAATTACTTGCCCAGGGCCATACGGCTACCTAATGAAGGTGATAAACTTTGAACCCAAGCAGCCTGGCCCCAGAGCCTGGCCCTGACTACAAAGCACTGTGTGACACTAGCCTCTGCCCCCATTCCAGCTTGATTGGTGTCTGTGGAGTCAGTAAGCAGGAGGACCAGGGGCCAGGAGAAACTTTTCCTGCATGAAGATGTCCCCTTCTCTGGGCCCTCGAGCCTGTGGCCTAGCTAAGCCAGAAGCAGAGCAGGAGGAGTGTTGTCTCTTTAGGGCCTTTATGCTTGGCTTCTCCACTTGACCTCAGCCACTTTCACTCTCCAGAGTGGAGCTGACCAGCACCAAAAAGGAACCTGGCCTATCACAAGCTGTCCTCACATGTCACATCTTCCTCTCCTTGCTCCTTGGCACTTGCCAGAGACCAGCCATGACCATATTTTAATAGCCAAGCACACATGCGCACACACGCCTGCACTCTCCTCCACTAGGGCTGGCCCTGGTGTTTTTGCCACCACCTTGCCAGATGGAAGGAAACCTGGCCCCTGGAGTCACTGCAAATGTTCCAAGACCACCAGAGAGCCTGGTGCCATCCTGGAATCTATAGTAAATGAGAATAGAGAAAATGGATCGGAAAGAGATTCTTCTCTAAATAGAAAACAAGCGTCAGTGGCCTGTGTGTGCTCTGTGTGGTCCTCTGAGCAACTTCCCTTTGCCCCTAGATGCCCTCTTGAGGGAAGATTGCATGTCTCCAACAAAGCTGCCCCACTGCCACTGTTTAAAGCCTCAGAAGGGGAGAGAGAAACAAGTCACATCCCTGCTGTCCCCAGAAACCACAGGGTGCCATGGCACACACCTTCATAGCACCATCCATGGGTCATGAAGGCCTTGTTGCAAGGTCCAGAGGGTGAGGCTCTAAGAGTTCAGGGGTGAGAAAGGTGGAGCCTCACACACCAGGGACAGTAGTGGTGGTAACAGGGAAAGCTGGACAGAAGGTGATAGTGCCAGGCTGTGTCTCTGCCATCCAGCAGTGTGGAGAAACCTCCCTGTTGGCAGCCTCATGTTACCCTTGGAGGGCTCTTTCTTTGATAATGTAGCAAGAAACTATCCCCTGACTCTTCTATCTGTGGTCTCTCCTAGCTTTGGCTTTGAAAGGCATTGACCATGAGATAATGCCCATCCATCTCACAAAGGATGGGGGGCAACAGGTAAGGAGGCTGCCCCTAGACCACAATGTGGGAATTAAACTGTGAAGAGACTAGATAGGGGGTCTGCCCCAATAAGTACAACTATGTCACATGCTCCCTATGGCTGGAAGGTGCTGTTGGCTGTCCCTTATGGGGCAAGATGGCAAGCTGTGCAGCAAAAGAGACCCATAAGACAGGTCCAAGCTGCAGGCTCAATACTACAACTGCATTCTCCAATGCCTGACTGTGGGGGGCAAGTGGGTCCTTGCCCCATACTGGGTCCCCTGGATGGATGGGTAGGGTAGGAGCTGCCTTGGTAGTCACAGTGTGAGATGCAGGGAAAGTCACATAGTCAGACCATTGGGGAAAAGCCTAAAGCTCAGGAGCTATTGGGGTTTCTGATAATGCACAGATCCCTCAGGGTTTAGCCTGGGCTTGGGAGCTAGGGTCTCCCCAGAGAAGTGGAGGTATGGACAGATGGCAGGCCTGGGGTTTACCCACTTGCTTTGTCCTGCTCTAGCCAACTCAAGTCAGGCCATCTATCCAACTGGGTCCTTGTTTCCACAGTTTTCTGAGGAATTCCAGGCACTGAATCCCATGAAGCAGGTGCCAGCCCTGAAGATTGATGGAATCACCATTGGCCAGTCAGTGAGTACAGGGCTTGGGGAGGCGCATCACAAGAGCAGTATCCTGAATGAGAGGACATGATGTCTCTTTCTCACTTCTGTGTGTCCAAGGAGCCTAGAACATATAGGAGCCTGACAAACATTTGTCAAAGGGAGAGAGGTTGGGGAGGTGAGGAGAGAGCTGAGCATGTGAGAAACCAAAAAGCTTTCCAGGGCTCTAGCTGAGGAGGTAAAGGAAGTGGTGGTGGCATCGGAGAAGGAGAAGGAGTTTGTGGGCCCTCTACCCTCTGGTCCAGACGTCCCAGGTTCTCTCCCTGACTCTTGTCCTCTCTGGACAGCTGGCCATCATTGAGTACCTGGAGGAAACTCGGCCCACTCCACCACTCCTGCCTCAGGACCCAAAGAAGAGGGCCAGTGTGCGCATGATTTCTGACCTCATCACTGCGGGCATCCAGCCCCTGCAGGTGAGGCCCTTGCACACCTCTCACACTGGTCCTCTCACACACTGACTGGTGAGCCCACCATGGGGTGTCTAGCTTGGAAGTGGGTAGCAGGAAAACAGAGAAGGACTCTCAGGGACTTTGACCTAGATCACAAGGCTGAAACGGGCAGGAATCCCAGAAATCCTCCACTGAACTGTGTTCCAAGAAGCCCTCGGTTTCCAAGGATTCATCTAGAGGGGCTCAAGGTGGGGAAGGGGCTGGGTGGTGGGCTCAGGTCCAGGCCTCTGGCTTTAACCTGAGCAGCCTCCCTCTCAGCTGTGCTGTCATATACAGACACACCTCATTTTACTGCTCTTGGTTTCCTTGAGTTCTGCAGATTTGTTTTTTTTTTCTACAAGTTGAAGGTTTGAGGCAACATTCTTTGATCAAGTCTGTCTATGCCATTTTTCTAACAGCTCATTCAATTGTTAGCATTTGTAGCAATAAAGTATTTTTCAATTTAAGATGTGTACATTCTTTAGACATACTGCTGCTGCATACTTAATAGACTACAGTATCATGTAAACAAAACTTTTATAAGCACTGGGAAACCAAAAAATCAATGTGACTTGCTTTATTGCCACATTTACTTTATTGCAGTTCCATCCCTATTACCACTAAATAAATAACTAAATAAAACTGTTCATCTGTGCTAACACTTGAATTTGTGAGGAAATAGCCCCAGAAAGTTGGAGCCAAGCCCACAGCATTTCCAAAGATGCTGTACTGGGATTCTCATAAGGTTTTTGTTTTTGTTTTTGTTTTTTAAAGTTTTCACTGGTAAAACAGAAAAGTAAGTATTAAAACTGATTTTCTTCTGAGTGTGGTGGTGCATGCCTATAATCCCAGCTGCTAAGACAAGGCTGAGAATGGAGATCCCAAGTTCATGGCCAGCTTATGAAACTTGGCAAGATACTTTTTTTTTTTTTAAAGGGCTGAGACTGGAACTCAGCAGTAGAGCGCTTGCCTTGCATGTATGAGGTACTGGGTTTGATCCTCAGCACCACATAAAAATAAATAAACAAAATAAAGGTATTATGTCCAGGCTGGGGTTGTAGCTTAGTGGTAGAGCACTCACCTAGCATGGTAAGGCACTGGGTTCAATCCTCAGCACCACATAAAAATAAAGGCATTGTGTCCACCTACAACTAAAAAAAAAATTTTAAAAAGGTACTATGTCCAACTTGAATCTAATGTATGAAATATGATATGTGAAGAGCTTTATAATGTTTTGAACAACCAATAAAAAAATAAAAAAAAAAAAAAAAAAAAAAAAGGTACTATGTCCATCTACAACTAAAAAATGTATATTAAAAAGGGGGGGGGGACTGGGGCTATAGCTCTGTAGTAGAGCACTGACTAAAATGTGCAAGGCCCTGGGTTCCATCCCTATTACCACAAAATAAATAAGTAAATAAAACTGTTCATCTGTGCTAACTCCTGACTTTGTGAGGAAATAGCCCCAGAAAGTTGGAGTGACAGCCAAGTGGCACAGCGAATAATAGCAGAACAGGGACCAAGGCCAGGACCTCTGTGCGCCTGTGCCCCATTCCCATGTCATCTTGCTGTTTTAATGAAAGGGATCACAGCAGACAGAATTCTGTTCTACAGATGAGGATACTGAAGTCCAGAAGTAAAGTGGCTCCAGGGGTACAGAGTTAAAAATCTCTGGAAGCCAGTTCTGTGCCCCTCCCCCGCCCAGCCCCTCTCCCTCCTTACATGGCCCATGTAAGAGAGGAGCACTGGGTGTAAGACACAGAGGCCTCAGGTTATGGCCACACCTGCCACTACCAAGGCAGTGTCCTTTGTCCCTACTCTTGCTCATCTCTGCCAGAATCACATGGCTTCCAGACTATGAGCAGCCTGAGAAGGTATGCTGGGATGGCTGCCTCCAGGGGCAAATAGGAACTGAGCTTCTCTGAGCAGGGTGTGGCTGAGGGGAAGACCCAAGCCAGCTCCCAAAGCAGTCACAGATTTTTCTTGGGCTACACAGAACCTGTCTGTCCTGAAGGAAGTGGGACAGGAGAACCAGCTGCCCTGGGCCCAGAAGGCCATCATTTCTGGCTTTGATGGTGAGTTCTCACTCCTGTGAGCTGCCCCAAAGTGACCACTTAGAGAAGTAACCCTGGAGCACAGGGCCCCGGGCCCCTGAACCAGGCTGCCAGACTGCTTCTGTCTCGACAGTGGTGTGGGAGGTGGCAGGCCCAACTTCTGCTTTACTGCTTTTCCTTCCCCATTCAAGAAACCAAGACCACAGAGCGCCAGCCAGTTAATGTGGGAGCAGCTGCCTTGGCCAGCTGCAGGTCTTGCCCATCTGGTCAGTGAGATGGCAGCTGGACTTGAGGGGCCCAGGGAGATACCAGCCTGTCCCTAGAAACTCTCCAGTCCTGACTGCCTCATTCCCTCCAGCACCCATGCCACAACCTGTCACTCAGACAGCCACCCATTTTTATAACTTTGGAGATAAGGCCCAAAAGGCTGATGTCCCATCTCTGTGCCCAGAGTAAGACTGCTCTTGTGGCCTCCCCACAGCTCTGGAGCGGATCCTGCAGAGCACAGCGGGGAAGTACTGTGTGGGAGACCAGGTGAGTGTCCTCAGACCTGCCCTCAGCAGCCTCTCCCTCATGCTGACCCCAGGTTTTCACTCTCCCTTGTGGACTCATCCATCTCCTCCTGCTCTGGGCAGGGAACTTCCTGCGGGGAGCAGTCGACCTACCCGCCAAGAGGACTGAGGGGTCCAAGCGAGAAGACCACACCTCAGAGAGGAGAGAAGGGCCAGGCAACAGATGAGGGACTAGGCTAGTTGATGGATTCCTTCTCTCCTAATTCTGAGATTCTAGGATTCAGGTACCCGACTCCCACAGGCTCAGGCCCTGGACCTGTGCTAGTTCTGGTTCCTAAGCGTCCCCTCACTAAGAGCCTGGTGGAGGTGGTTTAACAAGCACAGTAACAGCCATCAAACCCTCAAGCTTTCTTTGGCTACCCACAGAGTAACTGCAGTATGGCCTAGAATAAGTGCTGCCATTCTGGGGGACAGAGCCAGGCAGATCCAGGGAAGATAGGGTGAGTGGGGTGGTAGGGATGGCTGGGAAAACTGAAGCAGACAGGAACGTCAAGGACTGACCCCTCTAGTGCAGTAATAGAACACACCCAGCAAGTCTGAGGTTTTCATCCTGATGTGAACCCGCCCGACCTTCTTTCAGGTGTCTATGGCTGATCTGTGCTTAGCGCCTCAGGTGGCAAATGCTGAAAGGTAAGAGAGCTCCCCTACCCTTCCTTCTCCTGGTTCTGCCCAGTCGGGCCTTCTACTTCAGCTACTGAAGTAGCATCTAATGCAAACCCCTCTCCAACTGACCAGGCACCCACTGCCACACCGCACCAGTCCCCTCAGCCTTGGAGAGACAGGGTGGAAGAAATCAATGAAATGTCCTTACCATGCCCACTACACTGTATTGACAGCTCGTCCTTTTAGGAGGAGGTGGCTCACCTTACGGACATCCTGTTGTCTCTAGACATGGTGTCTGTGCCCAGAAAAAAAAGGTCAACCTCTGCTTTCCTTCAGAGGTGCTTCCATAGAGCATGAGTAGGTACCTCTCTGGAAGGCATCATGCTAGGCACTAAGGACATGAAATATGTGACTCATTCCCTGCTTGTGATATATAAATGTCTAGCACTGGACTTTATACATAATAGGTTCTCAATGATTTCTTAGACAGGAATACTAGGTAACAGAGATGCCAACTGATACTACACCAGACCTACCCATACCCAGAGAGCTACCCATGATGGGCTGCCTCTTTGTCCTTCCCTGGCCAGCCCCATGGACTCCATCCAGCCCTACCTCTCTGCTTCCCCCACTTACCCATAGGGCAGTCTCCCCATGTCCCTAGAAACCCTGACTTACAAGGTGTTTCTCTGCCACAGGTTCAAGGTGGATCTCACCCCTTATCCTACCATCAGCCGCATCAACAAGACACTGCTGGCCTTGGAGGCCTTCCGGGTGTCTCACCCCTGCCGGCAGCCAGATACACCTGCTGAGCTGAGGGCCTAGCTCCCAGACCTTGCCACATTGGCACACGGACAAGGAGGGCACACAGGAGTGGATACTGGGTGGGCTTAACAGGCCTAGAAATAAGTCTTAATTGGGCAGACAAGAGACTTTAGCCCTTAAACTTCAACGCTAGACCTGGTGCTGCCTCCCCCCCCAAACCTTGTTGTACTTCAGTCTTCTCATCTGTCAAGTGTCAGGAGGTGGGTGGGCAAAAATGTTATCTGTTATTTATGTTACAGGGCAGTCACAAAGCCAAAATGAGAATATGGATTAAAATGCCACAAGTTACGAAAGTGCCCTCAGACAGCCTTACTGAACTGACTTAGAGAGTGCCCCAACTGGAATTTGGTCATTAACTGCAGCCCAGGCCTCTAGTTTATTAAGACTGAGCGGGGCGGGGGGGTGAATGGCAGAGTGCTTGCTAGCACACATGAGGCACTGGGTTCGATCCTCAGCACCACATAAAAAATGAAATAAAGATATCGTGTCCACCTACAACTAAAAAATAAATATTTTTTTAGAAAAAAGAAGACTGAGCTGGGTTCCAGAATTTGAACATTCCCCCAGCTGGAACACCCATGGGCTCAAGAGAGGAAGTTAGTCAGCCACTTGCCTACCCTGTGGCAGGCCTGACCCTGAAACCCAAAGGCAAGGAAGAGAAATAAGCCCAAACCATTGCCTGAGAGAATCAGGATCCAGGGAGAGAACTGAGCAGGAAGGAAGGCACCTAGCTACCAACAGGAGTAGGAGCGGTACCATCACTGAATGTCCTGCTTCCGTACCCAGAAGCTAGCTGGTGCTCTCAACCCAGGCCCTCACCTTCAGGGGCAGAATTCTCTGGACCCAGTTCCAGGGTTAGGAATTTGGGTAAATCCAGCCAGGAGTGGTCTTACAAACAGGAGATAAGCTGCATGGGCAGTGTGAACTGTCACTATGGTCAACTTGAGCTTAGGAAACCAGCTATGTGATATGGGTAGCCAGTCAGAGTGAATTCGCATACTCCTTCCTGTGATCGGAGAGGCTCTGCTGGTCACTTTCATAGTGACCTGGATATTGCCCCGATCCTCGAAGTAGCAAAATGTGTCTTCAGACAGGCGTGTAGCCCCATGGATTGAGCTATGCTCACCTGTTCCTTTGTGATATTACTCCTTTGCCCTGTTTGGGATAGAATGTTCCATGGAAACATCCTTTGTGTGTCCCCTTGTTCTGCCTTTGAGTGTGGCCTTCCTAGATGTCACTCAACCTGCTGACAACAGACATCACAAAGCTAGACTCAACCCCCGAAACCTAACCCTTGCCTCATTTGAATGGTTTCTCCTCAATAAAAGGGTTCAGCACGTGCTGGCGCTCTCTCTCTTTCTGCAGACTGAGGAGCCGACACAGGACCCCAAATAAAAAGGTATCTCTGTCTCTTGTGTGGTTATTTCATGCAGCCCAGTTTCCCTGGAGTGACCCTGAGTGTTTTTTGTCGCGAGGAACGCGAAAAGGTGACAATTCATGATAGGCTGTGCTAGAGAGAGCATGTCCCCATCCTTGGCAGTGCTCACAAAGAAATAGGACCAATTCTTGGCAGAGACGTTTTAGGAAGATTAGCTACTGGAGGCAAAACAAGATGACCTTTAATGACCCACACCTGAGATTCCATTTCTCCTGCATGGCTGAGTTTGAACAGGGAACCAAGGTCTATGTGTCTGTTTCAAATGGAAGCTACCTTTCTCAACCATGTGTCCCCTTTCTGCAGCCCAATCCTAGGACACCTAGTTCTCCTTTCTCATCCTGAGTTCTTTTGTGGCCTTTCCTCTCTCAAAAAACCTTGGTTCCAAGCTCCAGAATAACCAAAGTGGGCCACTCTATCTCCCAAGGCAGGTTTGTCCCTGCAAAGCCAGAGAGAAGTAAAAGAAGGCAGGCGAAACAGTGGTGCCTCAGGTCCTGCCTGCTGCCATCTGGACCCTTCTAGACTACTCCAGCCTTGCCTGAATGATAGGACCTGCCTGGTTATTTGGTAAAGGACTAATTTCATCCCAGAAACCAGGGATTGTCACCTCCTGATATTAGGATGTCTGAAATTGATGGTGATTAAAATTCATGTGGATTTTGAAGGGAAATTGAGCTCACAGGAAAGGGGGAGACCCCCTACTTCAGGCATATTCCTACCACTCCCATGGCAGCATGGCTCCCTGGACCCAGAGAGAGTGGGAGCACTGCAGAGAGGAGCAGCAAGCCAGCCTCAGTTCAGCCTGGCCAGTTGGGCTGCTGCCACCACTTTCCTAGGAGTAAGGCAGGTGGCCCAGCCCCTCACTAACAGGTGCCTTTGTGAGCCCAACTCATCCCAAAAGATTTCCAGCCTGGCTCAGGCTAGCAGGTGCTCCCACTGTCCTCCTCTTCCCAGCCTCATCTCTAGGCAGGAAAGTTCAAGAGACTTCTGGGAAGCAAGATAACTAGTTAGAATCCACAGGTAGGACAGAAACACAGCCTGAGACCACTCCCCGTTCCCTGTATGATTCTGGAGAAACTAGGTTGGAGGGGGCAACCTGCAATTGTCCCAGAAGGAAACAGTCTGGTTTCCTGCTCCATCTAGCAGTGGACTTCACCAACAGGGAGGAACCCTCCAAGGTGACTCTCAAAGCTAGGAGCCAGAATGTGTGCAGGTGTGATGTGGACCTATGACAGACATGGACCCTGCCATTGCTGACTTTTTGTCCCTCCACTGACTCCTTAAAGTGTGACTGGCTCTAACTTTATTGCTCTACTGTGCGTTTTATTGTCTATCTTCTTGTGTGTCTGTTCCAAGATGACTTCCGGAAGCTGACTCAGGTCTCCTCCTAGATAGCATGAAAACATTAACCTGTTCATCCTGGGGCTCCTTCAGCCATCCCCAAACTGGTGGCAGGACCTTTATGGATTTTAATGAAATCTAAATTGGGTAAAAAGGATACAGTCTCCGTTATCAAACAGTATTTAGAAACCATCCCTCATCTAAAGCACAAAACTCATTTTACATATTCTTCTCATAGTCCAGGTCTTATTTCAACAGAAATTTTCTGATATATATTAAATGTAATGTGAAAAATCAGTCCCAGGTTGGGGACTGGTAAAGAACAAATTTTATGGCTTTTACTCTGGACTCAGCATGGAATCATCAGAGATCCTTGGAGTCTATGACATTTCAGTGAGACACTCTGTATTTTTTTTTAATATTTATTTTTTAGGTGTAGATGGACACAACACAATACCTTTATTTTTATGTGGTACTGAGGTCCTTGGAGTCTATGACATTTCAGTGAGACACTCTGTATTATTTTTTAGATACTTATTTTTTAGGTGTAGATGGACACAACACAATGCCTTTATTTTTATGTGGTGCTGAGATCCTTGGAGTCTCTGACATTTCAGTGAGATACCCTGTATTAATCAAGAGTTCTCCAGAGAAACAGAACCAGAAGGCTACATGGGGGAGGGTGGAGGTGTGTATGTTACATGGAATTTACTTATGCAGTTATAGAAGCCAAGAAGTCCCATTGTCTGCCATCTGCATGCTAGAGACCCAGGAAAATGGGTGACAATTATAATTGAGTCCAAAAGCCCGAGAATCGGGAGTCACTGGTGAAGGGTCAGAGAAAATGAGATGAGCCATTCAAGCTGAAGAGTGAGGCAGGAAAAAGAGGGGGTGAATTCCTCCTTTCTCTACCTTTTTTTTCCAGGCCCCAGTGGATTGGATGATGCCCACCCACATTGGGGAAGACAATCTACCTTACTGAATCCACCATTCAAACACTAATTTCATCAGAGACATTCTCACAGGCACACCCAAGATGATGTTTAATCTGGGTATTCTGCAGCCTTGTCAAGTTGACATAAAATTAACCATCACTTCCTCCTGTCTTATCTTACACCCTCCTAACCCAGACAAATCTGTCCTTCCCCACAAAACCAGAAATGTATCTAAGCCAAAGAAACTCACACTCCAGGTTCCTTTGAGGTGACTCGAAATGCTGGGTTCTTGCAGGGATCAATTATATGCACTATCCAGAGAAAATGACTAAACCTTTCAGGTTCTCAGCTGCACTGGTTTTAGGGGGACAGCAGTCCATCTCCTTACTTCATGATCTTTCTTGCAAAGATTTTTGTGTTTTGAAGCTAGAACCTAAGACAGGGAAGTTCTGCTCACTGGCCATAGCAACCCAAACTGGTCTCAAGGCCAGGGCTAGGAACCAGTCTTGTCTCCCTCTTCACCCAGAGCCAAGGAGAGAGCCTCAGCAGCGACTTTTCTGATATCTTCCCTGGATTTGGAGACTGGGGCTGTGAGGAAGTTAGAATTGCAGAGAAAACAGGACCAGGAAGGCCACCACTCAGGATCAACTAAGGGATGGAAAAGGTGTTGGGGGGAGGTTATGGATGAATAGAAGTCCTGGTGTCACTGGATGGCCACAGATCAGGAGAGAGGAGCCATCTGTCTGGTCTCTGGGCCTGCAGTGTCGAGTCAGAGTGAAGCTATCTTGTGTTTTCAGCCCTGGGGCCTCTCCTGGAGCCCAGGTTATCATGGTGGCTGTCTTGCTATTCAGGAATATGGAGACCTGAGGTTTTGCTTGTTTCATCCCTACCCTTCAGGAAACCGTCCTCCAGAGACCCAGGCATGGTTAATTGAGAGGAACCCTTTTCTCTGGTCCCGTAGGAACTTTGCTGAGAAATTCCCTGAGAGTTCCTCAAGCTCTTCTGGGTTGGGCTTCTGACCTACCTATTATCTCAGTATCAAGCAGTGTGACTAGTGCACTCCATAAATGCACATTAAATTCAAAGATGTCCTTCCTGTAGAATTGTGGCTGACTCTCCCTTCCCTGAATGTCTTTCTCCTCCCATGCTCTTCTAATTCCTCTTTTGGGGGCTTAGAATATCATAAAGGAACAAATTTTTTCCTACATGCTTAGACTTTCCTCTAGTGGTCAGATCAAATGGCTTAGCAATAATTAAGCTTTCACAAACTTTTTTTTTTTTTAGTTATAGATGGACACAATACCTTTTTATTTTATTTATTTATATGTGGTGCTGAGGATCGAACCCAGTGCCTCACACATTAGGGAAGCACTCTACCACTGAGCTACAACCCTAGCTCCTCCACAAACGGTTTTAAAAACAACCTCCTCTGTGACTCCCTCAGGTCTTCAAATAAATTCTTATATTTGGGTGTCAACCAAAGACCTTCTCAGTCTGTTATGCCACTATAACAAAATAACCAAGATTGGATATTTTTTAAAGAACAGAGATTTATTTTCTCACAGTTCTGGAAGCTAGGAAGTCCAAGATCAGGACAGCTGGTTCAGTGTCTGGTGAGGGCTTGGTCTCTTTCCAGACTAGTGCCTTCAGTGTGATACTGAAAGAGGCAGAAGGGTAAAAGGGGCTTAAATAGTTCCTCCAGTTCCTTTTTTTAAGGTACTGATCACCTCCCAAAGGACCCACCTCTTAATCCTGTTGCTTTAGGGATTAAGTTTCAACCTGAATTTTGGAATAGTAAAGGCAATCACCTTTTCAGGGGACATTTTTCAGTAGTAGCTTCTCTCAAAAGGCTGAGTGAGTGGTCAAAGTCCTTCTTCATTTCTATATCACTTGTCAGATCTGTGAGGGACTTTCAGCAGACCCCTGATATGCAGTCTTCCTGGAGTGGGAGTGGCCACAGCAGATGAAGAGCAGATGTTGGAGTGGCCTGATCCAGTGGTCTTCCAACTGGATGGAAGTAATAAGACACAGCAAATGCTTTGGAAGGAGTAAAGCAGGAAGGAGGTGCTGCCAGGAGACACCTGAGAACAAATCAAAAAGCACAGGAATTGTTTTCCACAGTCATTTTACACATTCATTAAGGAAAGATGAAGGGGAGAGAGAAAAGAGTTAGAAAAGCAGGTAAATACACGTGTTCATATGATAAATATTTGTTTTATTGGTTCCTCTTGATTGCATGGCCACAGGTGCCATTCTGCTATGGGAGAATACTCTGAACTTAGAGCGCTGTCGTGGTTAAGCCTGAACTATGTGGGTTAATGAACATCAAGACTGAATATTAAGAGCTATAATTCGTGAGCTGCCTTATATAATGTTGGGCTGTCAAAGTCAAGGATTTGACCAGTATGAAAGCTTTTAAAAGTTAAAAAATAATCTTAATTCTGTTATATATTAGAGTGACATAATAGACCCAGTGTCCCAACCATGACTTTGAAGATCCTTAGCTACATGTAAGCTGCCTAGGCATTTTATTGTTGGCTACAGTGTACTTTCGTAGGCAGATTATATTCATTTAACTCACAGTTATTTCATATATTTCCTTATACTTCAGCCTCTAGGATATGTTACAAATGAAAGCAGAGAATGACCCGACAGGCTCATCTTAGAGTCACAGATAGCACTGAACAAAGT